CGAAGAGATGTATAGGCTGAGCCAAATGAGAGAGAGAGATGGGCAGAGACACACCAGAAAGAGACTTGTAGACCATCCTTAGGATGCTGGTCTTTATCCTCAGAGCAATGTGAAGTCACTATTGCAATGAAGGTCAAGAGAAAAGCGAACCACAGAACCTCCGAACGGCTTGTGGAAAGGCCTTAACAGTTGTTCTGCGATGAAATGAGGAAGGATTGAAAATCATTGGAGCCTCCTTATATCACAGGTGTGCTTGGCCAGCCATCTCCTTTCCTTCCAAGTGGACCAGGCCCCCGATCATCTCAGTTTCTGCACACTGTGGACAACTGCCTAGCTACTCCTCTGCCCCCTATAGAAACTGAACAATGGGCCATGGGAGTTAGGTACATGCAGTCCACAAAGAAATATGTATTTCCTAAGGTGGTAAAAGTGTATGGAGGGGCGAGCGTGGCAGTCAGCAATGAATGTGAGTCAGTACGGGACCACCTAAACCTGGGGGTAGACCAAGAAAGAGAAACTGCCATTCAGACTTACATAACCTCTTTTCTGCTCTAAGATAATGGCTATCTATAAAAAATTCCCAAACTATTAGTAGCTCAGTATTTTTTTAAAAAAAAAGAGAGAAGAAAAAAAAAAACTCTGGCAGGGAAATAATAACAAAATGTATGATCCACAGAGGTGGTGCAAAGATATAATGTTACTTTACATATTTGATATAGAGCCTAAATTAAGCCACAGAAAAGAGCCCATGAATCTTCACAGCCTCATTATCAAGCCTCCTTAAACCTCAAATACAGAAAAATACATTTCATAAACAAAGACCCAATAGGATTTTAATAGTACAATAAATTTCACAGACATTTGCACTAATCACATTTCACTACATTTTTTTTGAAGAAAGAAATTCCATTTGATGGAGAGTCAGATTTTCAAAGAGAGTACAAAATATATTTTAGGGAGCCAGTTTTCAACTAACCATGGAAATACAAGTCAAATATATTATAGTCACATCAAGTATTAGGAACCTGAAAATATGCACATATGCCTCTCCCTCCACTCCTCAGATTCCTTGTGTCACAGCTCAGTCCCCTAAGAACTCATCTTTCCTCCAACCACTGCACATGGCAGGAAAGTCAGCCCTCAGTTAGAGCTGTCAGTCCCTGAGGTGTTCGAGGGTCTTGCATGCCTTTCCACAGCTCCGTCTTTTCTTTAATATGTGGGTGGTTTTCTAGTGCAAGTTTCCATCTAATCATTACCTGGTTTTGTTGAAGATGCTCTAGCTTGAACACCATCACCACAATAGTCTCATACACAAAGAGATACGTTTACCCAGGACTCTCCTTAGACCAGAGCAAGAGGGGGTCCTACCTGGGCCCTGCACTTTAGCTGGCTCTTCTTTGACCTTCTCCATGGATCAAGAGGATGTATGCACCTGGATGTACCTTCATTCTCAACCCTGTTAAGTCCTGGGACCCTGGAATGCCCTACCTTAATGGTCCCAAGCTTACTCTGGGGAGGGGGGATTTTTAGATGAGATTAACCTTTATATTTATTTCTTTAAATATGCTTGTATTGATTTGATTCTTATACACATGTTGAATCATTCAATCACGTATGCATTCGTTTAGCAAATATACAGGGATTTCTCTGATGTGCCAGTTGTTATTCTAAGCTCTGGGGACACGGCAGAGGCGTAACATTCTCTCCCTCACAGAACTTAGAGCCCAAAGGGGGAAGTGAGCAATAAAAAAAAATGCAAACATGATATTCTGAGAGCGGTAACACAATTCTGGAGGTACTCCTTAAACAATGAATGAATGAATGAATGAATGAATGAGGAAATCCTTTATGGTGACCAAGAAACTTTCTTTTTGGCTGGCCTGGTTTCCACCAAATTGAAAAAAAAAATTAAACAGAGGATCTCTTTTATGTTTCTATCAACTGCTGCTCCTGAACGAATCCAATGATGAGTCCACTTAATGATTGCTATTTACCTAAGCACATTCTGAACTATTATCCATTCTATAGAAAACAAGAACGTTAAATCTGACATGGAGAATGAATTCCTTTGAACCTGAGAGGAGGAGGGGCACAGGCACATGAAAGAATTGCCATCTTCTTTATTTCAATTTGAAATGCATCCCTTTCCTACACCCGGATTCTAATTCAAGGGGCTGCAGTCCCATGGCCATTCCCTCAAACCAGGTTCCATTGAGCCACTGATGGTGGCTTTTTAATTTCATCCTTCAGATGTTGCATCAAGCAGAAAAAAGCTGGGAACCACCGGTCGAAACATGATTGAAGCCCAGCCCCCGCAAAGTTTTACTATCAACTGCAAAACCCACAAATAAAAATGAAGATGGGAAAATGCATCACTGAAAATCTAATGTGCAGTTGGCTAAATGATAAACCAATTTGAATTAGCGAATACTAATTGAAAAACTGCATGACAAAGTATTTTCCCATTAAAACAGAAATTTGCTAAAGGCGTTTTCAATTATTTATCGTGCTTCGGTGAAAAGCTCTACACATCCTAACTTTGCCTACTGATCAGATTTTGAGCACACCAGCACCTAGCCCAAATGACTTTAACAATTCTATGCCAGTGACCTTGACGATGCTCTTCGATTTTTATGAGGTTCTTTTTTCTCTCTCTACCGTCCTCACACCTAACTGAACAGATGCTTTTCACTTGATAGCCTAATTACGATCTCTGAGTTTTAATATTTTTAACCTTATCAAGGCTTATCCACATCCCAGAATCAGTTCAGTAGACTTTACGAGACAAGTGGACTATGTAGACATTTTGGCCATCTGAAAGGACATTCTGGATGAAGGACTGTCTCCCTTTGAAGTTCACAAATATTTGAATGTCCTTTCAAATGCTGAGATAACGTCCTCTCCTCAAAATCAGGGCAGAGGTGGCTGCTGGGAGCCAGAATTGTGGATTCCAAGCCCACAGGGAAGGGAATATATTTGGAACATAATACCCTGTTGGTGCCCAATAAATGTTTATTAATGAGCCCCATGTTTTGACCCAGGCGTGGAGAATAAATCCAAGGAAGGAAGATTATGCAAACAGACAGGAAGGTCACCCAGCCCTACATGGGGTGTGGCCCAGGGTGGGGGCAGGACCAAGGCACGCAGGTGACAGGACAAATTCTCCTGGGTGTCCAGCGGTGACCCTCTCGAGCCCCACTCCAATAGTTGCCTAGTCCATTATAAAATAGCATAGAACGACGTTTTAATCAGTGGCTGTTAAAATGGTTGTTTGAGAACAAAACGAAACTGCACACAGGCTGTCCTCTTAAGAGCTGAAAGGATTCTTGGGCCAGACTCCTCATGGAGACTCAACAGTGAGAGAATCACATCTTAATGACCTCTGAGATTCATTAGTAATTAGTATGTCCGCCTTGTGTAATTGGACGGTAGAGAGCTCTCCTGCAGCCAGACTTAGAAACGTCTGTTTAGCAAACAGATTTCGTATGAATGAGATGTGTTAGAAAGAATGACAAGTCCTGGGAAGTCACGTGATCCCAAGTGATGACATTGGGCAAGGGGCCCTGGAAAGGCAACACTTACAAAACAGTATCACCGTCCCTGATATGAAACCGAAAAGGCACAAAGCAGTTACCAAAATGCCTTGTAAGAGGCATTTGTCCTTCCCAACACTGCAGGGAAGACTGTCTGTGTGACTTGGCACCAGTTGTTAGCTATTTAAAATGATTGTTTTTAATCTAGTAAGTAAAACCAAAATTTGCTGTGGTTTCTTTTAATAAAATATTTATGATGCTAGGAAAATAGCTAAATAGCTCTGATCTGAAAGTAAACAATGGAACGGAACTACATTGATATCTTCCCCGTAGGACATACAGCTCAAAACACACGCACATAAAAGACAGTCAGGTCTAACATGAAGCTGTATTGCGTAGACGTTCTCTTCTTTAATTGAAATCGTATCCAAGGTGGCGATTATCTCTTGCCTCAGCTGCCCTCACCCTTTCTAGCCTGAAGGCCCAGAACTTGTGAATTATTAAACAATCATATTTGTAGCAGCAAATTGATTTTTGAGAGAATCCATATTGATTGGAATATTCAAGACTAATGATTTTGAGGTTAAGGTGTTTAGATGGTATTGCCTCTGATGGACTAAATGGGTAACGCTTTTTTCCCCCCTATTTATATTATTTTCCATTAATTGCTAGTTGAACTTGCTCTTCACTTTGAATCCATCCATCATACTAAAACCTGGTGCGGCCAGTTGGCTTTCTAAAACAATGCCAGGTGTTGCCGGTGTCCATGAAAAGAAGGAGACCATATAGGTGAGCCAGCTGGTTGGCATCCTAACTATGCGGGCTGAAGTCATATTTGTAATTGTTGGTTAGGCTAATTAGGCGTGCTCTACTTCACTAACTCAGAAGGGATCTCTACGCCACACACAACTGCCAATGAGTCACACAAGAGTCACCGGATAAGTGCACGGTGGTGAAAGCTGGGTAAATTAATTGCTAGTTACCAGGAAAAGGGAACACCAAGTTCATGGTCAAATGCACGTCACTGTAGGTCAGCACCTCTACCGTCATACCTGGTCAAATGGTCACATACTATAGTAACTCCCAACAAGAGCATTTGAGATGTCTGGCCTTGACTCAGTCTCTCAAAGGATTTTGTAGATGATTCAAAAGCTGAAACCCCATAGGTTATGGTCCCAGAACTTAATAAATAAGATTATCTTTTTGATACTAATTCTGCAGGAAATCTGAGTGTTGGTCTGCCACTGCTGGACTACATAAATTTGGTCAGCATATTTACTATCGCCAGACCTCAGAAGTTCATCTAAAATAAGGTAAATAGAAGCTTCTCCATTTTTGAAGTACAGTACGGTGCACCTATACATTTCTTCCTCTCTTACCCCACATCAAAATCACCCACAAATCCGGTTGGCACTACCTTCACAGTATATCCAGAGACCCTCCATGTCTCCCCACCCCCAGGCGTACCTCAGGGGTCCAAGCCGCCGTCACCTCTTCCTGGATTAGAGCCGTTGCCTCCTAGTGGGTGTCTTGGCTTCCGCCCTTGCCTCTCCTCAGTCTACTCTCTAAACAGCGGCTGGAACATCCTGTACAAATGTAAGTTACATCATGTCACTCCTCTCCCCAAAACCCTGCAGGTAGCTTCATCTCCTTCACTGTACAGGTCATGGCCATGACAGTGACGTCAATGACCCTACACATGTGGCCTGTCCCCCCTTTTCCCTGACATGGCCTCTCACTGTTTTCTCCTTTGTAGATACTTCACTTGCGTCCGTTGCTGGCCTTGCTTTCCTCCATACACCAGGCAACTCCCTCCCTTTGTATCTGCTGGCCCAGTGACCAGGAGCCCCCCCTTCCCAGCCGTCCACATGATCACTCCCTCAACTTCTTCTGGTCTTTTTGCAAATGTCATCTCACGGAGTCTTCCCTGACCTCCCTACTCAAAATGATCAACTCTCCTTCCCTCACTCTGTTTTGTTCCATCATGTGACATACTGTCTATTGTTATTTTTTACTTGTGTACTTTATACTAAAATGTAGGCTCTATGCAGACAGAGTCTTCAGACAGTGTGCTCAGACAGTGCTGGATCAATAAATATATATTAAAGAATAGAAGAAAGAAGGAAGGGACAAAGGAAGGGAGGGATTCCAAATCTAGTCCTGCATTCTAGCAAAATATTTGATTCTCATGAACCAGTAAGCATATGCCTAGTTTTTAATCTATATAGTTTTTTATTGATTTCAGAGAGGAAGGGATATAAAGAAAGAGATAGAAACATGAATGATGAGAGAGAATCATTGATTGGCTGCCTCCTGCACGCCCCCCACTGGGGATGGAGCCCACAACCCAGGCATGTGCCCTGACCAGGAATCAAACTGTGACCTCCTGGTTCATAGGTCAATGCTCAACCACTAAGCCATACCATTCTGGCAGTATATGCCTAGTTTTTAATGTACTATATGATCAGGGCATATTCCAAAACTATGTCGCCATAATTGTCCCCACCCCACTGGTTATAAACACTACAAATCAGTCACAAATTCTGGTTTAACTCTTGGGCTTACAATTAAAGTAGAAAGGGATTATTATCATAATTATTATTATTACCAATAAACTTCTGTTTATTTAAAGGGAAAAAAAGGCGATTACTCCCAACTACTTTCGTCTTTCCAAAAACTGCTAATAGACTTGAACCTTTGAAATTCCTGATTTGACCTGAGCTTGACCCTCGCAGACAATTCATTTGCCAAGGGGGGGGCGGGGAATTACAATAAAAAAGCCTCAACATTTCTTAAACTGAGACTCACAATATTTCTGTTCCTCAACCACACATACATCCGTCTCCACTGTTCTCAGGATAAAGAAGAAAAAGGCTGGTTTCTAATTTTTTAAACAGAGAAATGGGCAGCAGCACTTTAAACCTTCTCAGTTGGAAAGTGATATTTTTGGTCAATGATCTATTTTTATTTCTGCTTGGCTATTTCTCGAGGAGTCCAATGACAAGGACCTGTCCTTCAAAGTTGTAGGCTGTGGGCACGGAATTAGCATTTTCAATTACTTCCCCTGGATGAAGCACACAGGTCTCTTCCCTTCCCCACCCCCCCAACCACTCTCTCTCTCTTTCTCTCCCCTTGGAGGACAGGGAGGGCAGTTTCAGGGTTACCCTTCATTTTTTATTCAGAATGTTCTCAGCAGGCTCCAAACATGCTTGAAAAAGCAATTTATAATTTTTTCCCCCCAAAATAAGAACAGCATCTAGGACGTGAACATCGTCGGATGTATGCTTCCATTGCCAAGCCTATCTGTTTTAGTTGACAAATTTGGTTTGTGTCATTTTTAATCCGCAGACATATATTTTTATAACTCCTATTGACTCTGTGGCAAAGCTAGTTAATGTGATTTTCCTGGATAAGATACTCAGGACAGTTACCCTTGCAGACATTTTTAATAAAAACAAACATCAATTGGGGACTCAGAAATGAGATCAGATTGCTTTATCAACCAAGGAACAACCATCCCTCTATTTCTCATTCTTCTTTCAATACCCTACCTGTTACCACCTTTTTAATACAACAAACTGATCAGATCAAGGACAGATTTGGAAAGGAAAGACAAAAACCAGCAGCAGCTGTTTAATTTTTGGAAAAGCCATTATCCGAAAGAAAGCAAACCAGAAAGTGCAGTAAGCCAGGTGCAGGGGTGGAGCTCAGATGACGGGAGTCATAAACTGTTCTAGTGTGAGGTAGTTGTCCTGCCAACTGGGTGGACGATCTTGAAGGGTCTTTCCTTTATTCTGGCTCTGGTATTTATTTGGTCGGAGAAATAAATGATTCTAACACACGTTGGAAATACATGGTACTCATTAAAAAGGCACTCACAGAATTCTGACATTCACTCCAATTCTTAGTTTTTTACAGGACCTCTGCTCTACTTGTAAGCCTTGTGAAGAGATGCTAGAGACACCGTGTCCTGAGATCCAATCTATTTGATTGCAAAGAGCCATCCTTAATCCAAGAGGTAAAAAACAAACAAACAAAACAGAACTGATGGAATACTCAGGATATAGCTTATACCAGTGATGGCGAACCTTTTGAGCTCGGCGTGTCAGCATTTTGAAAAACCCTAACTTAACTCTGGTGCTGTGTCACATATAGAAATATTTTGATATTTGCAACCATAGTAAAACCAAGACTTATATTTTTGATATTTATTTTATATATTTAAATGCCATTTAACAAAGAAAAATCAACCAAAAAAATGAGTTTGCGTGTCACCTCTGACACTTGTGTCATAGGTTCACCATCACTGCCTTTTACCTTTGGGCGAGGATGGCATTTGTTGGGCACTTACTACCTGCTGGTTCCCTGGAGGATTCTTTACATGTTCCATTTCAAGGAACAGACACCTGGGGCAAAACCACCTTAACCTCCTTTCCCAAAAGCTCCGAATCAAATTGCCTTCCCCTGTGACAAAAATTGCAAAAAGGACTGCTTTCCAGGATAGACCCAAACACCTTCTGGAAGTTCATTGCTCTGCAAGTCTCCCAGGACTGAATTCATACTTCCAAACATGTTTCACAACTCATCTACCACCAAGTAATAAAAACATCCAGTCCAAGTTCCTGAGAAAGATGTATCTGATAAAAGTACCAAGGCTAATAGGGAAAGTATGAAGAAACTGTGTATAATATGCAAAATATAAATCACTCTAAACTAATACTCACTTTAAGTATGACCCAGTATGTCAGAGAAGAAAATGCTCCTAAAAGTGTGTGTGTGTGTGTGTATGTGTCTACAACACACATATTACTCCCTTCCGCCATACACTTCAACACTCCACCTCAAAGTGAAAAGAAGCTGGAAAGAATTAAACTAAGATGCTACTCCATGAAGCTTCAAGTGAATAACTATTGGGTGAATCTCTAAACCATGACAATGCCATTGGCTGTTTTATTAAGTTTACCTTTAGCAGGTGTAACCTTCATAACCAGGCATCTCTGCTGGTCTGACATTTACAAGGCAATATCTTTTTAAAGCAATAGCCTTCAATGTTGAGCCACCTCTTAATTATGGGTCCATTGAACAAAGGTAGCATTCATCTCTTCATTTCACAAAGACAGGCAACTAGCGCACTGGTAGCAGTTTTTATTGGTAGGAAACCAAGTGCCACTTAGATTCACTTTTATTACTCTTCAATAATGAGGTTTGTGTTTCGTTTTGTGCTTAAACGATGGATTATACTCAAATGAATCTGTCTTTCCCCTCATTATTATTACTCTTATGACTTTCCTAAGAGAGGAAAAGAGTATGTTTAGGTACATTTCATTCTATCCTGCCTTAAATCAAGTGCTCTCGAGGGAAAATAAGCCAATCTGGAGCTCTCCCCACCCCACCTCCTATTAGTTGAGTCACTGTGGACTCCAGAGAATGAAGCATCTATGGCAACATAGAATAATTTCCTCTTATATGATGTTCAGAACTTTTTACATTTATATTCACAAAAGGATTACAGGCAAAGGGGTGGCATCTCTTTTTCTTTTATGTCTGCTTATTGCATTGTTTGGAGAAATTCTGGAAGTAGTATTGGAGCAATAAATTATATATTTGCTCCATTATTGGCTTAACTTTTTTTTAAGCGGAACTTCCTTTGCCCCCCTCTAGACTCACAAAGGAACCTCAAATCTATCCTCAGTTCCTCCCACTTCCCTCTGCCTTGTCTGTCAAGCCCTTAGGAGTTAAGTTCTAAAGCAACCTAACAGAATTAGGAGGAACAGTGCTTACCAATTAGACACTACGCAAACTAATGTTCCAGGGAGGACTTCTACTTTTGTTTTTATCCTCGTTTTTGTTTTTCTTTTTAACATTATTAAGAAATAGTTGGACAAGTTTCTGCAATAAATTTTTAGCCCCCCAATTGCCCCGCCTGTCAATCTGCAAAGAGAGGTGACTGGCAGTGGTGGCGGGGGTGGGGCCAGCGAGCGGGAGCGCCAGGCTAGCCAATGTGGTTGCCTCCTGATCGCCCTGCCAGTCGTCCCACAGATCAGCCCTGATCACAGGCCAGACCTAGGGACCCTACCTGTGCACGAATTTCGTGCACTGGGCCTCTAGTTTATCCATAAAGTCTCAGCTCACATGTGTTATCCATTTGCATCCTTACCTGATTGGGTGCTGCTGAAATACCCAGATACTACATCAGTCACTGGTTATATGGAGCAATGAAAGCAATGCCCATAGATAAGGGTGCCTTTTCCTCCACGCACCTTTCCATCACAGCAAGAATGGCATGCCATTGGAGTTATGCACATGTCTGTCTTTCCACTCTGCTATAAGCACAGTACTCAATAAAATCAGTGCCAAAAGAAAGAAAAAGTATATTTTGTCTCTTCAACTAATTTGTCCCCTGGTTTCATTAGATTTCTCAAAGGACATCTTCCTATACAAGGCACCCTGGTCAACAGTAAAGGCTTTGGAGTCAGATCCTCTCCTCTTCATGAGCTGTGTGACCTTGGTCGGGCCACTGAAATTCTACGAAACGGAGACGACAATGGTATTCTATTCCCAGGTCCCTCGCAAGGCACCAATGAAG